GGCCACCACCACCTTATCAAATGAAGCCTTTGACTTTTTCATGACTGAGCCCTGAGAATTCTGCTCCTCATCCTCCTTTGAGTCATAGGGTAGATCTGGTTTGTCTCTTTTGCCTATCAACAATTTGTCTGTCTGAGAGGGATTATCAATAAGCCTCTGCAGCCTGCCCATCTTATGCCCCGTTCTTTTCCAGGTTGTTATTTTGCCTTTGCCTTTGTCAGAAACCTGGGAATGGGGAGCCACAAGAGTAGATAATGGTCCAGCTTCAAGATCCATAGCATTGATTTGCTCCTCACTAGCAGATATTGGCTTTGACACCTCTGGTGATTTGTGCATTGCAATGGGGGAGCCGGTAGATGAGCCCATTACAGATGACTTAATAGTAGGGGTGGAATCTGCTGCGTGGATGATGATTTGATTCCTGGGAGTTGATTGTCCAGCCGTCTCTGGATTCTGAGACGATTGCCCAGGAGAGGAGGGTTGCTGAGAATTGCGGGGACTTTGAGGTGGGCTTCTTGACCCAGAATTATGGTGATAATTACCGGTACATAACTTCCCTTCAGGGATCTTAAGCCAATCGCCATATTGGCCTTCTTTGAGGTTACCTGACTTGATGTCATTAACTTTCTTTAAGCATCCTTTCTCTAGATGCCCAATGTGGCCGCAGTAGTGACACAGATTTCTTAATTTTTCATATTTGAAACTAATGGTAACCACATCCTCACCAAGTCTAACTTTAGAGCATCTGGGGATTGGTTCGGTTAAATCCAATGTAACCAGTAAACGAAGAAATTTCCCACCGTGATTACCAAAGCTCGTAATAACCACATTGTCTACGCCTTTGAAGACTTTCCCAATTTTAATCCCGACCTCTGTGCTAAGCCAGTTCAACGGTATGTTAGCTACCTGGACCCATATGTTGAGTTCTTGGAAGCAATGATGTTTGCTGTTTAGACCTTTCCTCCATTCGCGCAGAATCAGGTACTGGTTCTCAAAGGTCCAGTTAGTGCCATAGCTTACCCTTCTAAGATCCTCCATGCTCTGAAATATGAATTGGAAGTAGTTGGTTTCGAGTTCTTTGACCTCCATTGGTTGTGAGAGACGCCATATTTGGTTCATGGAGCGCTTAATTCCAATCCAGCTAGCAGGCCTGTCGCCTATTATTTTTCCGAATAGACTGCGATGACATTCATCGGCACTGACACGGATATCCTCATTAGCAATATCTACTAGTAACTCTTCTCTTTCAGACAGAGAGAAATTTCCCATCCTCTGCGACAGGTCTTCGTCGTGGTGGGAGCTCGAAGCCCTAGCCATGGTGAATTAAAAGAAAATCCCCAAATCAAAGCGATTTAGGGTTACAGCAATAACTGCGAAGAAACGAGGGCTGAGAACGCGAAAAAACGAGATGCGAAGAGAAGGAAACAGAGACAAGAAATGAGATCTGGCTATGGAAATGCTAAGAAGAAGAAGGATCAAGGATCAAAGCTCCCAACTGGAAGAATTCGGAATCGCTCCCAACTGGAAGAATCACCTTTAAGTATAATAAACGGATATACAATAAATCATATGACATATTAACCCCACATCGTTAATTTAATCTCATTTACCCACATCTTTATTTTATAATATTTTTTTCCTCTTTTAAGATAGGATCAATAGTGGTTCTTCACTTCTTTCATTGGGTGACTCGAACTCGATACCTATTTGTAATTATTATTTAATATTACTAACCCGTGCATCGCACGGGATACGCACTAGTTCTTTTGTAGATCATATATGGTTTGACTCCAAAGAGTTATATGGGCCTCTTTTACTTAAACTTGGGCTTTGTGGTTATTTTATATCACAACTCTTTTATATAGTTTTTTTTTTAATTAATTTATTTATTTTCAACTCTTTTATGTAGTTTAGGACAAAATTGACGTAAACATTTTTATTCTTATTATTCCTTGGCCTTGGTTTTCGAATTGAGTGTGTTTAAATTATTAAGGTTTAATATTTAATAAATCATGGTTAATAATTTTAATATATTAAGACATTATTTTAACAATAATAACAATACATATTTAAATATATTGAATATATGTTATATTTATTAGTTAATGATTGTATGTTTTAAATGATTTAAATATTTAATTATTAATATATATTATTGTTTAAAGTTTATATTATACATAAAATTATTCATTAACAAAATACCGGTCCAACTGGTTAAACCATTGGTCCAACCAGTGAATCATTGGACCAGTAGCTTCACCAGTTCGATGACTGGTTCGGTTCTCAGAACATTGAGATTATCTGAGATTATTATTTATTAATTTTATTGTTATTATTTGTTATTATTTAATTGCCTAATTGATTATTGCTATATTATTATTATTATTATTATTATTATAAATATTATTGCTAAATGCCTAATTGCTTGTTATTATTATTGCTTTGATTATTATTATTATTATTATTATTATTATTATTATTATTATTATTATTATTATTATTATTATTATTATTTGCTAAATGTTTACATGTCTAATTTCCTAAGTATTATATTTAATTATAATGTGTTTAATTTTATATTATTAATAGAGTAATAAAATGTGTTATATATATATATATATATATATTTTAGTCCAGTTTTTATTTTTATTTATCATGCGATTATCCGAGTCCCGACTACCTTATTTTATGTCGAATCAAGAGTACTGGCACTGGACCCGCTAGTCGCGCCACGGGCCAAGGACCCGCACACCAACAGACCCGGTCCGACCCGCTCACTTGCTTGGATGGGAAGCTAATTACCTAAACCTAGCTGTATTTAAATGAGATTAATTCCCTCAGCGGTTTTAACCCGCAGCTTTTCTCTTCCATCTGATCGTGAATCCCATCTCCCTCATTCTCGCTTTTCTGTCTCGCCAAACCACTTTCGATCGTCACCATCCTCTCCTCCTCGCAACAGCATCGTCATCGTCATCACCAAGCGATCATCATCCTTGGCTCGCTGCTCAAACAACCTGCTCGCACCATCATCATCATTCTGTATCATCATCATCCTTGGTTTCACCATCATCAGCACAAATCGCCGGTCACCTGCAGCAACCTCCTCCGGCGATTTCAACCTGCGTGCTGTCAAGCTTCCGATCGAGCCAACCTCTCGTCGTGATCGCTGCTCCTCCGCCATTGTCGACGAGCCCACCCCATCGTCAAAACCTTGCTATCGCGAACCCTAGCGAATCCATCCTCCATCGCACAGCAACTTCCAGCAGCATCCTCTCCTCCGCCGCGACCCTTCGCAGTGACCAACAACTCCCGTCGGGGCCATGTTAACTGTTCTTCCCCCGCTAGACGAAGTGCAGCTGTCGAGCCCGTTACCGCCGCTGTCCACGAGCTCCATCGTCGTCAGCACCCCGTGGCCGTGTTTTTGATGTTCGCGTGATCTAGTTGCTATCCCAAAGTCTGAGCCTGCAAGCAGACGATCGCCAGCGTGCACGTGCTAATCGTTCAGCCCTGGTTCGACCCGTTTCGTAACCCCGTCCCGAGAAAGGTACCCGGGCTGACCCTCAATTTATTTAATTTGGTCCTTTATGTTGGTGTTATATACTTAAGCTTTGCTTTAGTAGATATTACACTTGTTATTTCTTGATGAATGAGAATTATGTTTGGTTAAATAAGTTCCACGTTCTGTTGTTTTGCATGTAGATAAGTGGGTCGTCATCGGGCGTACCGAAGATCACTATATCAGTTACTTGCGAAACAAGAATCATTGGTTCACAACCTAGATGGAATTGAACAACCCATCGGAACGGTTGTAGTGTCAACCGTACGGTTTGTCTTGACCGATTAGTTACACTAGTACATTTATGTATTGAACAGGATCCCAGAGAGGGATGTTCGTTTTATACTGATCGTCGTAAACGAACTAGGCCTCAGTTAATTATTGCGTGCTCTTAACCCGTAAGATATTAAATAGGCATGTGCACATAATTGTTGTTGCTTTGATCCTTTGGGTGAGATCCAAGCTGGGTCGACATACTTAATGAATTGGGTAATGACATTATGTGTTCGATGTGCTATTAGGATATTTACGGTCACCATGTGCGTTAGTATGATGATGTCCCCGAAGTGAGTTCATGCAGGAATATTATGCTAAACGCTGCAGGTGGATTTATTCCGGCATAATATGAATGCTATGAGCGAGCGCTAGCTTCGGTAATATAATATATTAATTAATTCTTGATTGTTAGTGATCGAATTAATTAATGGAAATTATATCTTAAACATGGGGAGGAAAATCGGATAATTATAATAAGGAGTCTCAAATGTAATTTGGATAGGTGAGGGGAGTGCAATAATATTATTGTGGTGGACTTTAATATTATTAATATATTAATTGTGGGGTTGCTCCACAGTATTAATATATTAGAAAGCCCTTATCCTATTCTCCTTAGGGTCCCTACTGTAGCTCTATATATACAGCATTAGGCTCATGGAAGAAGAGCACAATCCCATACAATAGGGAATTGCGTCCGCCCCCTCTCTCTCTCTTTTCCAAGGAGTAGTTCTATTTCTTGTGCTCCACTGATACAAGATCTAGATAGCTGTTTGAGAATACAGTAGAAGATCTTAAGGTATATACGGGATTCCAATCAGATCTATCATACATTCAAACCGGAGACAAAAACCAGCAAGTGACCATACCACGACGACCAGGACGACGAGACGAAGAGATCGCCGTCGAGATCGCCGTCAGCCGCCGCCGTACGCGCCGCCACGCGCCGCCGGAAGGGAGCAGCTGCCGGAACTTACACGGGCGCGTGAGAGCGCGTGAGACCTCCGTTTTCCGATCGGTCAACGCCGTTGACTTCGCCGTGACGTCAACTTTCTGGATTGGTCAAGTTTGTTCGATTCCGAGAAGATTTGATTTGCGGTCAACTGTTCGGGCCAGCCAGATCTATATAAATTTAAGCAGTAAGTTTTCTTCATCAAACCTTTAGATCCGCTGCGCATAGGTTTATGTTGAATGTTTGTCCGTGATTTGTGCATATCGAGATCCTCATATGTCCCAACAATTGGTATAAGAGCTTGAGGTTAATCCGTTGTGTACAAGATACGGATTAAACTGCTTATATTGTCTATATGTGCTCAAGCGCAGCCATATATATTGGACTATATGCATAACTTGGTTTTGCAGGAAGTAGTTAATCCACTATTATGGCCACCCTTTTATGTGCTTGTGCTTAATTGATGGTTGGTTGTATGGTTTTAAATTTGTTTT